GATAACATTATTTTAAATCGGTGGTTCCAAATGGAACCTCTGGGCACGAAAGAGTTGAAATCAGACTATAGTCTAGTGATTTTTGTACGAAGGTTTTGGGATCCATCTAGGCCTGGGTTCTTCGCGCTAACATAAGCGATGACTATTTTCGCAGAAAGTACGGAGTAGGCTATAGTAATGGCATTAGGCCGAGTTAAGTAGATGACGCTTCTCATCTCTCTCTCGGGTGACTGGGTCGCTTATGTCGCGTGACAGGGTGGCCTGGGCTCGAACCTAGCCAAGTCAAGTGCATATTTCCTAGTTCAAGCGCCAGCGTGCTTGGGAAGGGAGTACCCAAGCACAGAGCGCTCCTATCTCTAGATGTGGGACGTTGAGGAACCGTGGCAGTGAAGGTCGAATCCCAGGGGAATCCCAATGCAAAGGGGGAAAATGCTTATATTTTCAGTAGCCTAATACTTCTTTTTACGGGTCATTTAGGCATTTTCAACCTTCTGCAGTGTTTTCACTTGACTTTGACACTCATGGATGAGGAACGTCCCATGAACGTGTGTTCGAGTCAAGTGAAATGTTGTCTAATGGGAAAAAGGTGAAAATATTCATCATTCGCTTTACATACTTAGCATTTGGCATACTTCAGGTGTAATTTCAATATCGGTTATCGGCAGGTCATATATCGTTTTAGGCCGATATATCGGATTCACCTAATATCGGCCGATACCGATAACCGATAAAATATCGTTGCATCTCTAATCATAACCTCAGAGATCCAAATCCATCCGGCAGTACTTATAGGGTCGTGCAAAAGTTCCCGAACACTTTGACTAGCGCTACGATGCTTTTTAGGCGTCATAGCTCCAAAGAAAAAAAATTCAAATAAAGACTGAAATTTACGAAAATGAAAAATTTAGTATCAAAAACGTCCGTAGAATTGAAAAAAAAACATCAGAATTGCTAAAAATCCGTTGATTAGTGAAAGAATTAGATTTTCAAAGTGTACTGGAACTTTTGTACGACCTTGTATTCCACGAATCCTAATAAATTTTCTGTGCATGTTTAATGCTTTTATTTCAAGCATTAAATATGCACTGAAAATTTGAAAATGAAGCCCTTTGAGTTCCAGTGTCCCACAAATGCTCATACATGCATCCTTCGTTTAGCAATTCATCCCAGCAGTCATTTAAAAATGCTTTTTGGTGGCTTAAGAATCTTTTTGTTTGTTTTTGTCGAAAGCTTGAAGAAAGGAAGCACTCGACAGAGCGTCCATGGGAACAAAAGTTATTTCCAGGATAATTATGAAAGTAATTTTGAAAATCAATTGTATCCCTTTACATAACAATTACGTTACCTTCACGGTTACCGGTGGAATATTACACACATTATTTCCCGGAGGAACCGAAATCATCCCAGTCAGAAGCGCGAGTGCGGCCACAGGTCGGCAACTGCGGCGTTTCTGTGGCTTTTCGATTGTGAGACCATGCGTGACACAAAAAAAAACTTAGAGTTTCTCCTAAGTTTGCGAAAACCGGTCATTTGCATGATATTAGTTTGGCGGTCCCAATCAGCAATTTATCCTCTGTGCCAAGTGTGGCTTATCTCTGAGGTTCGCGTGCTACAAACTTGGGCCAATACATCAGCCCACACATGGCCAGGAGACGAACCACACTTGCCACAGGGATATATTGCTGCCTGGAGTACATCTTTGGCACATTGGAATGTCGCGGTCATTTTTTGCGGTATGCAACTGCTATTATCAAAGTGATACGCACGGTTCTCATCAGGGCTTTAAAGCATTTGCGAAAGTTTTCACTATCCTTCTGTCAGATTGCTCTTGTGCGCTAACATCTACGTCCGCCATGCGTGGACTAAGCGTGCAAGACCTTCCTGAGCCACAGATCGAAGAGTCACAGAAAAGCCACAGCTATCGCGGATACGCCGATCTATGGCCACATACACCGCTGAATGCGAATTTTCATTATTGAGTTGTGCATCCCTTATGACCTAAGAAATTAGGTCCTGATGCCACCGTATTCGTCCAAGCATCCGCAAATGTTTCCTCTCGACTGCAGTCGTACACTGTATCCTCGCACGTGCGTGAAACATCTATATCTGCCAGGTGTGGGCCAAGCGTGCAAAAGTTTCCTTGCCCAACATGGTCTAACAACCGAAAGTCCACAGAAACGTAGCATCTGCCGCACATACGCCGACCTATGGCCACAAAATTTGGTTAGGGTTAGGTTTGATGCCAGGATCAAAGAAGGAACAGAAGAGAATTAATCCAGAAGGAAAATTTTCATTTTTTAAATTTATTTATAATTTTATTATTATTATTACTTTATATATCATTTAATTATAATTTTATTTTATTTTCGCATTCATTTTTGGGAAGAGAGAGGAAGGGAGGCAAGCACCCCCAAAAAAGAAATTCACTTATGTTGAAACTCGGGTGGACCTTGAAGGAATAGGAGGTGTAGACCGCGCCGGCCGTCCGATCGGCACTCCCCACCCGGACGGTCACCTTGTCCACGAGTTTGTTTCTGGAGAATACGACAGTCGGCATTTACTGCATGTACATGCCGAAACTTAATAATCCTATTTGAAGGCGCGGGTGCGCTGCAACATTGAACTTCCAAAAGAGGATGCAGCATGTTTACACTCTCACGTTTTTGGATTCTCGATCCTCCAAGAAGATAAGAGGCAGCTTTCTCACGTGAAGCTTAATTTAGAAATACTGAAACGTAATTTTTAACTCTTTAAGGATAGTTTTTCTTGCAAGCGACAAAATCGTTCTCGGATCTTTTTTCGACAGGAATGAACGCAGATCGGTCATAGCAATCGATGTGACGCGTTTCTGCATTTCCAACTCCCGCAGCCGCATTTCACTGACGGTGGGACAATGCATTTAGATCGCCCTCGCTGTGACATTTCATCGCAATATTTTACGAGAGGCCAGCGTTGGAACCATTGATTACTGTACCTTCCCGGATTTTAATCGGGTTCGAAGGCAAACCAAAGAAACATGGAGACTGCTGGTTCGGATTTTTTTTTCTCCCTGTCGATCAGAGAGTAAATAAAAACGATTTCCGTGGCGATGAGAATTTGAAATTTCTCTTCAGTAGAAGTATCAGCAATTAATGCCTGTTCCCGAACCTAATAAGCCTCTTTTGTGTCCAAGTAGATAACATAAAAAAATGATTAATTTAATCCCCAAAAAGGAGGGACACATTAATACAGGAGATAGTAACCGTACTAACTTTGACGAACGGTAGAGACATTGGGCAGCTGTGAGGATGTACTGAGGTGCTACGATGGAGCCACTGCATGTCTGCGATTTGGTCTTCCCAAGCACCGAATATTCCATGGTGAGGAATGCCATGAAAGGCGCTTCTGTGATCGTGGCCGGAGACCCATCGACGATGAGCGGGTCCGGTTCTGGCGGCTGGGCTCCCACCAGGCCGCTCAGGAGTCCGTTCCATATTCCATACAGCCAGCTCTGTCTCGAGGGGCTCGACTGCCTCGCTTCGATGTCCGTCGCTCCCTCTCGGGGCGCGCTGGTCACGGCACATGCGTCCGCCGTCACTGCTCGAATCCGTGAATCCTAATCAGTTAGGATACCTTCATCCAATGTTAGCCCTCATACAGCACTTGGAGGGGACGCCTCTGACAATGTGTGACATGATGCGGTCAGTTGCGTAGCCAAGAATTCGCCAAAAGGGGGACTTGTTGGGACAGTTTGAGGGGCCCCCCCTCTCGCAATGCCACTGGATGCGGTAGCAAAACAAAATTGGTATTACAATAAATCTGTGGCAGGTGACTGTTAAAGACGCAGTGCCGAATAATGCGAGAATCGCTCCATGTCTCTGAAGCTAACTTTGAAGCTCCTCAAAGCTGAAAATTAAGATCCATATGCATTTTTTGCAATCTCATTGCAAATTGCAAGAATAAGCACAAATGCGGGCACAGCATGCAAATAAGGAAATCATCACGCTCCTCGTGCCTATCCGGAATGCAATCCCGATTTCCAATCAAGAGCCCGCTACAATTCATGAAAATAAAAGGGCGGATGTGGCAAAACGAATTAGAATCATGCGAAAGCGAATTGGATTCGTATAACCATTTGAAATGAAGCCTGCCACACACCAGAAAAATTTATGGCTCCACCGCCCAGCGACCGTCGCAAATGAGACGCCAGGGGCACACAGAGCCGTCTGCAAACAATGTGATTGGTTGATGCTAGAATTTCGGAGGTCCTGCAGCACAGCAACATCGCAGGACCCCCGCACACAGAGCAACAGTCGAGCGACAGCAATATTCGCAGCAGAAAAATTGAGTAGGGAACAATATGCCTGGAGTGGTCGCGCGACAACCGCAGGACCCCCGCACACAGAGCAATATCGTGTTGAGAGACGGTCGCGCGAAGGTGCAGAAACGATAACTGTCTCGTTCGCGGCGGGATTAAGAGGTAATAATTCTTAAAGCTCTGTCCCATAATGGTCTATGGTAAGAACTCACATTGGAGACGAGGAGGAGCAGCGGGACAAGTCTGCTGAAGGCTTTCATGAAGAATCAGTAGGAGGGCGAAAGCGAGGAGGCCACTTTCGACGTGCTTCATCCTGCTCGCTGCAATCAGGAATCCTTACTGAGGGAAATTTCCTCTACTTCGCTGTCACGGAAGGAATCGCACTTGACACTTCTCAAATACTTGAAAATGATGTCACGTAGGGCAGAGAAAAGTCGTTTGCTCATCCAAGGAAAGTCAACGGAATTTTCAGATAATTCCCCCCCCCCCCCCCCCCCCCCACCCC